AATCCAATTTCTTCAATCTTCCCTCATAGGTCATGTTTTCTAGACCTTTAATCATTTTTGTTGTTCTTCTCTGGACTTTCTCCAATTTGTCCACATCTTTCCTGAAATGTGGCGCCCAGAACTGGACACAATATTCCAGTTGAGGCCTAATCAGCAGTAGAGAGGAAGAATTACTTTTCATGTTTTGCTAATACAGCCCAGAATTATGTTTGCTTTTTTTGCAAGTGTTACACTGCTGACTCCTCTGTAGCTTCTGATCACTAAGACCCGCAGATCCATTTTCGCAGTACTCCTTCCTAGCCAGTCATTTCCCATTTTGTATGTGTGCAACTGACTGTTCCTTCCTAAGTGGAGTACTTAGCATTTGTCCTTATTGAATTTCATCCTGTTTACTTCAGATCATTTCTCCAGTTAGTCCGGATCATTTTGACTTTTAATCCTATCCTCCAAAGCACTTGCAACCAATCCCAGTTTAGGATTGCTTGCAAACTTTATAAGCTTATTATCTAAATCATTGATGAAGATATTGAACAGAACCAAACCCAGAACTGATCCCTGCTGGGCCCCACTCATTATGCCCTTCCAGCTTGACTGTGAACCACTGATAACAACTCTAGAAATGGTTTTCCAACCAGTTATGCACCCACCTTACAGTAGCTCCATCTATGTAGTATTTTCCTAGTTTGTTTACGAGAAGGTCATGCGAGACAGTATCAAAAGCCTTACTAAAGTCAAGTTATACCACATCTGCCGCTTCCCCATTATCCACTAGGCTTGTTACCCTGACAAAGAAAGCTAGTAGGTTGGTCTGACATAATTTGTTCTTGACAAATCTGTGCTGACTGTATCACTGTATTATCTTCTAGGTGTTTGCAAATTGATTGCTTAATTATTTGCTCCATTATCTTTCCAGGTACTGAAGTTAAGCTGATTGGTCTGTAATTCCCCAGGTTGTCCTTATTTCACTTTTTAGAGATGGGCAGTATATTTCCCCTTTTCCAGTCCTCTGAAATCTCTCCCATCTTCCATGATAATCGCTAATGGGTTAGCTATCTCTTCAGTCAGCTCCTTGAGTATTCTAGGATGTATTTCATCAGGCCCTGGTGACTTGAAGACATCTAGCTTGTGTAAGTAATTTTTAACTTGTTCTTTCCCTATTTTGGCCTCTGATCCTACCACATTTTCACTGGCATTCCTTATGTTAGACATCCAATTGCTACTAACCTTTTTGGTGAAAACTGAAACAAAGAAGTCATTTAGCACTTCTGCCATTTCTACATTTTCTTTTATTGTTTCCCTACTCCCCTCCATTGAGTAATGGATCTATCCTGTCCTTGGTCTTCCCCTTGTTTCTAATGTATTTGTACAATGTTTTCTTGTTACCCTTTGTGTCTCTAGAATTATAGATTCATAGCAACATTGGGCTGGAAGGGACCTTGAGAAGTCATCTAGTCTAGCTCCTTGTGCTATAGCAGGACCAAGTAAACTTAGAACATCCCTGAAAAGTGTTTGTTCAACTTGTTTTTAAAAGCTTCCAGTGATGGGGACTCCACGACCTCCCTTGAAAGCCTATTCCAGAGCTTGACTACCCTTAGAGTTAGAAAGTTTTTTCAAATATTTAACCTAAATCTCCCTTGCTGCAGATTAAGCGCCTTACTTTTTGTCCTACCTTCCGTGGACATGGAGAGCATTTGATCATTGTCCTCTTTATAACAACCCTGAACATACTGGAAGACTGTTATCAGGTCCCCCCTTAGTTTTCTTTTCTCAAGACTAAGGATGCCCCGTTTTTTTAACCTTTCCTGACAGGTCAGGTTTTCTAAACCTTTGATAATTTTTGTTGCTCTCCTTTGGACTCTTTCCAATTTGTCCATATCTTTCCTAAAGTGTGGTGCCTAGAACTGGACAAAGTACTCCAGCTGGGGCCTCATTGGTACCGAGTAGTGCGAGATAATTACCTTCTGTGTCTTACATACAACACGCTTGTTAATACATCCCAGAATCATGTTAGTGTTTTTTGCAGCTACATCATATTGACAACTCATATTCAGTTTGTGGTCATCTATGAAGGTTAAGCCTGTCCAACGCTGAACACAGTAATATCAGGCCACTGAATACCCTCACTAAAATAATTAACTCGGTTATGCCTCTGGGCTAACGTAGCACCTCTTTCACTCATAATATCATGGTCAGCAGAAATTCACCCACCACTTCCCATTTGTAGTGCAGATACAGCATGCCAGATCTCAACTAGTGTAAATCAGAAGTCAATGGAGCTACACAGATTTACAGCAGTAGCCAAGGATTCAAGACACACTATTAGACTATTATTTCTCTTCATTTAACTCCTGGATAGGTACAGAGAGTATGTGTATTCACCTTTATCTACAGTAGGTATATGAGCCCCTGTCACCATATCTGACCACTTCAAAATCTTTAAAATATTTATCTTCACAATATGAGGTGGGAAAGTGCTATTTTCCCTGCTATACATCTGGGGAAATGAAAAACAGAGAGACTAAGGCCCAGATTCGTAAAGGTATTTAGGCATTGCTGCACTCAGCATTACAACACCTAACTGATTTAGGAACATAATTCCAGTTTTCTAAAAGGATTTAGGCAATACCTAAAGACTTTAAAAATCTGGGCCTAAATGACTTGCCCAAGGTCACTCAGAAAATCTGTTGGGGAACTGGGACTTGAACCCACACCTCAAACCCTCACCCCCAAGTCTTAAGATAGTGCCCTAACCACTGGAGAAGCTATTATTTTCTGCTACTAGAGAGATAAATTATTATTCAAGTACACTTACATACACAGAGATGTGTTCATACATCCATACACACATTATGAAGCAGATGCCCCTCTTCTGCAAGTACATCTGTGGCAAATTGAACAAGTCTCCATGCACAAACTCAAACAGGGGAGGCCGCAAAGCCATTAAAGATAAGCTACAGTGTGTTTCTCGCATGGGTTTTATGTAATGAGAAATTTCCAGTTTCCTCCATATAGATAGATAGACAGATAGGAGGGAGGATGGGGGGAGTCACAGCAGCGGAGCAAAATGCTGTTGTCAGCACAGATATCACAGGCTGAGGGGAAAACAGTTGCATAAGTGAAGTACCAGGGCAAAGTTGCTTAGCCGGAGCATACTTGTATTTGCTTAAATATTTTATCACTGGCTGAAAACTATTTTGTAAGAGTTAAAGAAAAGCTATTTACCTATGCTTTGTTATGGTCATCTCTGGGTTGAGGCCAGTGGTCCATGTTGCATTGCTGAAGCTATGTTCTATGCTCTGCTTAAACACTATGCTAAGTAACTCATCACTTTAACTTTATTCCCAACAGAGATCCCTTTATTAAGGACTACAGTCGGTCTCAAACGCAAATATTTCAACACATTCATAAAGAATATAAAGAAGAGATACATAACAAATGCATGTGAGCCAGCCTGCATTTATAGGAGAACCCCAACTTGCCATAGGTTGTGGGTAATAGGGGTATACAATGGCAAACTGACAGTTTAATAAAACAAGGAAGCTACACAGAGAGATAGTGTGGAGCAGCGCAACAAATTCTAATGGCTTTAAAGGGTGTGACATTCCAACCAGTGCAGCCCCTTTCAACCCAAGTGATCTACAAAGTCATCCAGCTCATCAGTCTGTCTCAAGTATGTATTTATAAACATCCAACACTAAGTACATAAAACGGTGGTTTAGTTTTACATAGTATTATCCATACAGGACATTCTGTTCACTATGCTATGCACTTGAGGGATCTGGAATGTAGACTCTATGAAGAGGCCAGAGTAAAATCCCATGGATCGCATCTAAAGTTTGTTGACAGTGAAATTCTGTTAAGCAGAGTTCAGTAATCTTGGGTTGTTCCAGGCAAGTGGGGTACTTCATGAACATAGCCAATTTATTCCAACCACAACATTGCCTATAATACATTATTGCCTAGAGATTTGTGCATAAATGTGCGCTTCTGCCCCAAACATATATTCAGTGTTCCCCCTCTATAGATGTCAATGTTCCGCAGAAATGCTTCTGCCCGAACAGACAGTATTATTACGTGCCTAATCACCTACAGTACCTATGATCAGAGAATCAGGGCAGACTCTAAAAAGCATACTACTTCATCTCCTGTGAACAGAATCCTGCAGTCTCCACTCGGGCAAAACTCCTAATGAGTTTTGCTGAGTAAGATCTTCAGAATTATGCCCTATATTAATTAGCAAAGAGAAGGTTCTGTTCACTCACGTGTAATCTAAGCTATAATTTTTCATAAAAATGCCTACAAATTTGGATACAAGCAACTAACTTTGGGCTTTCATACATTTATGTTTCAGAAAAACAAAGTTTACCTTAACAACTTTTGGTCTGTCTAATCCAATGTACGTAATAATGAAGTTTTAATGGATTTGGGATTTTTTTCCCTCCTGTCTTCATGCCTAGGAAGTATTTAGCTCAAAAAGTCAAGCTGTTCTTTTTGGTCCAGCTATTTTCAAACAAGACTAATTTTTTTTTAGTGTAATTTACTCTTGCTCTGATGCAAACAAAATGAAAATTGCCTTAAAAAGTGCTGAACACCATTTCCTTACCCATTATTTACCAACTGCATCTTGTCTGCTGGCAACACTGAGTTGCTTGATTATAGAGAAACATTCCAGTAAGAAGAACATATATGCTTAAATGATGCACTCTTTATGCCACCCTTCCAAGAACAACAGTAGCTAATTGCTCAGTTTCCTACTGGGAAATGTCTCTTTAATATGCAGATCTCTAAATGACTACTCCAAATCCAAGTTGCCAACACTAGTCATTTAATCATATGAAAGACTTTAGCTTTCACTTATACTACTCTTTATTATACTTCCATGTAGTGCAAGAACACAGCAGAGTTTCTGCCATGTGCTCATGGAAATAAAACAGCTTTCAACTGTTTTATTTTAAATAATGTTACTGAATGTATCTATAGGATTTTTTAGACCAACTTACTTGGTGCTGACTGGCTTTAGCCAACTGCTGATTGGCTGATTCTACATTAGAAGATGCAGTCTCAATGTTGGCTTCAATACTATCTGTAAATTAAGATAATAGAAGGTAATTACATGGTACAAAGCTAAAGGAATAATTCACACCAACAACAATGCAGCGATTTAATGGTGGGGGGGAGGGCATGAACAAACAGGAAAGATCCACACATCCTTTTGTTTGCGAGTTTGGAAAACTAGGGGGTGCTCATAAGGGTCACCCAAAATTTAGCAAAAAGAAGGAGCCTAAATCATCACAGTCAGAGGCAGAGTAATGGGTGAATATCATACAAAATGGAGAGGTTATGGGCCTGGAAAGAATGGAAAGAATCCCATGGACTCCAATAGATCAGGGCTTCTATAGGACTGGTAATCTCATTGGATGAAAGTTACATTCTAAAATGGGATACAGGAGGTATACTATGTTTGTGCTTCTTGATTTGTCCTGCTGTAAAGATCTTCACTTTTTACCTCTGAGTGAAGAAAAAACATTGGGAATAGAAGGTTTAATAACTACAGAGCGCAGCCAGTTGGGGGGAAAAATCAATACATGCCAGTCAAAGAAAGCAATGTTTTAAATGGACACCAGTCCTGTGTTTAGAAACCAACATCTATGTTGCAAAAGCTGCAATTAAGAGTTAGATTGTGTTTCAAATATAAATATCACAGTCATGGCCAAATCATTCCCTCAGAGACGTGCACACAGCGACTACTGATCTCAGTGGGAGTTGCCCGTTTGCATTGTAGAGGAGAAAGCATACCACTGGGTAGATATAAATCACCTGGGGGAAAGTACTATAGGCAGAAAGTTGAGAATAAGATTTCAGGGCTTGATCCAACTCTCTATAAAGTCAATGGAAAGACTTTACATGACATCATTAGGAAATTGAATGGATCCTTGGTACAGAAAATTGGTTTAATTAATTCATTCTTCTATTTTCAAAACAGAGAACATTAAAAAAGGACATTTCTGTGGAGTGCGGGAAACTGAGCTTTCAGATGCTGTTATGCACTCATAGATACTTTTCAGAAGATTTGTTTTATTCTGTTTTGTAAATGAAACAATTTTTAAGGCTGCTAATACACTTGGGCACTTTTGATACCTTAAAGAAAATGAAATGAGTTTAACGTGTGGAAACCTACTCAAAAGCATTCATCACAACTTGGGGAGGAGGTCCTACTCTTTTTATTCTTTAATACATGCACCTGAATTAGCAGAGCAGAAACTCTACGGGCAGTGCTATTAAGGATTGAGATGCCTTAATTTAACGGCCAAATCCTGAGCATCTCAAACAGTTTTTAACCAAGGACCTGACCCTGCAACAGAGGCCTGAGCCTGTGCAGAGATCCACTTTAGTCGCTGGTTTCTGACCAAATCGTCCTTTTTGCACAGTCAGCGGGAATGGAGTGAAAACTGCATGATGAGCTCAGGGTTTGGCCCAGAAGCCTATCAAATTTGCCTTTATAAGGACAGATGAGAGCTATTATGATTCTGTCTATCTATCAGCCCCAAAGGGTTCATTTACAGTCTTATGTTAATTCTAGTATACTGCTGGAATAATGACTGATTCTTTTCTCCCCTTTTTGTTTTCAGTGCTAGCAGAAAATAATGGCATTAAATCACTCTCACACACATGCTCAAAACCACTACCATCCAGTGCAACCTCTGATCTCTCTTCTGTTGGACACTCTTAAGTCAGCTCACAGTGCCTGGGTATTTCAGGAGTCTCTAGCAGTAGATCATCATACAGACAATGAAAAAAAGCATGCCCTTTCCATCTGAAACCAAAGAGTTGGGGTGGGAAAAGCAGAGTGGTGCCTGAGCATGTTCTTTAGGGCAGGGAAAGCTGTATGGGGCTGGGAGTGTCTCTCTCTTGATGTCTGTCTAGCTATGGGAATTTAATCAGTGCTTGGTAAATAGCAATTAACATGTGTGTCCAGCTTCCATGGTCGTCCATACAGGCTTGTCTACACTGGGAAATTACATTGTGCTAGAACACACTCTGAGGAGTCAAGGTAGATGACGTGATGCTAAATGTGACTTAGCACATAGCATAGACAGGGAATATCAGGTGTAACATTTTGTCAGCTAGTTGTGGTTAGCCCTAAGGTTGATGAATCCTGGTCACATGCCACGTGAGGAACATTGTGCATATGCTCGGAATATCGTGACCAGCTGGGACAATGCTAAACAGGACAGTGCTTGTCTACAGAGATTCTCAGCTGGTATAATAAGTGCAGCTCCATGGAAGTCAATGGAGCTACAACAGTTTACACGAGCTGATCCTAACTGTCTCATGTTCTGTTACCATAACTCCACAATGTACAAGGTCGTGCTCTTGTACAGCATAATCTCCCAGTTTGGACAAGGCCTGGGAATTAGACACATGTACCTGGGTTGGAGAGAGGGGACATGACACAAGGTAAATAAGGTAACAAGTGACAATCAGAAACAAGCCATAGCAGGTAACAGGAGACATGCTCATTTTGGGAGCATAAAGCAAGGCAAGGTTGCCAGTTTATAGGAGATATATTTAAAGAGGACAAAAAGAAAAGGAGTACTTGTGGCACCTTAGAGACTAACCAATTTATTTGAGCATAAGCTTTCGTGAGCTACAGCTTATGCTCAAATAAATTGGTTAGTCTCTAAGGTGCCACAAGTACTCCTTTTCTTTTTGCACATACAGACTAACATGGCTGTTACTCTGAAACCTGTCATTAAAGAGGACAGTCACTCTTTGTCCGATAATAGAACAGCCTTATATGGAAATTCAGAAAAAGTTGAGTAATCTGATTCGTCTAATCAAAGCAAAACAGCTTGTTGTTTTCTGCCCTAGTGTTACCTAGGATCCCAGGACATTACACCTCTTCTTTCATGAACAGCTGCAATTTAACAGGCCCTTTTCCTAGGGAAATAACTTTTTAAGCATGGAAAAGCAACACAAAATTCTTTAGATTCCATGATGATTTTTTTCAGGACAACCAGCATCATGCTTTGCAAACACTACATGTTAAATTAGTCCACAATGCAAACACCCAGAGTACAAGGAATCTTTACTGAATGATTACCCAAACGTTACATACGTTACATACGTAATGGTGTGATGTTACAGAGGAAAAGCAAAAAACTGGGCAAGCAGCCTGCCCAGCTGGCAGGTTCCTCTAATGTCCAGAACTCCAGCTTTGCCAGGAGTACAAAAGATTTGAGATGAAAGGTCCTAATTAACATTTGCTATAGTAGCTTGCAATCCTAAGGGGCAGGGAAAAAAAAAAAAAGACTACAGAGCTAGCACTGCATGAAAAATGAGGCATACATAGGTAATATGGTGGGCTTGTCCTCACTGCTAAAAAAGATGCAATTTTTTAACTTGCGGATACTAACATGTATGAATTATCCCAAGGAAAAAAAAAAACATAGTGAAGACCAGGCATTTTAGTTTTACCGTAAGTCAGCCCCTGGAAGAGGTATAGAGCTGTTAAAGACATGATTTACCAGGCAGTAAAACTGAAGTGCCTGGTCTTCTCTGTGGTTTTACCTCAGGGCAGCTCATGCGTGTTAGCTACCCTGAGGTAAAAAATGCACCTTTTTTAGCAGCGAAGACAAGTCCTGGGCAAACTAGTGATTTCCACTGATTTCCACATAAGGGAGAGAGGGTGAGAGAGATGTAGTTTAGGTGTCAAAACACAAACACGGTAGCCAAGAATTACTGGCCAGATCATCCAGCCAATTATCTGTCCACCACTTCACTGATTTTAATAGGAGGTCCTGCATGCACACAACAGGATGATCCCAACTACAATGACTCATTGAGTGACGTAAGCCAAGTCACTTGGGCTGTGATTTTCAAACGGGCCTTAATCCTTCCTACCACACAAGGGTATTAATCAAGGATTATTAAATGTTTTGAAGAGAACAAAATTACAGAAGTGCTAAGCATTGTGATTTGCATTTTATTTCTTTACAGTGATACCCTGTTGTGACAGAGAGCTGGGAAACAACAGCTGATCCAGCACTCTGGCCACTGCATCTCTGATTAGTTGCTCTGGGGTAGAACTGATTAAGAAGAACTGGGCCTAATTGATGGATTGGGCTGCGCTTTGGAGTGCTAAAAGGCTAATTAGTCCTTTAGGCAGAAAGTAAAAAAGAAAGGGGAAGGTGGGGAAGGAGAGAGAGGGAAGCTTTCAGAGTCACAGCCCAGAGGGATCTCCCAGGAGGAAGATCCTTTCTATGTCACCTCTCCTTGGCTAAGGGAGTTAAGGACTGTATGAAACTGTAAACAGGGAACTGCACTCCTCTGTGAAAGTGGTGGGGAAAACACTGCAAAATAAACCACATAAGGTGCTGACCTGAATAAGGTCTCCAACTATTTGTAACTTCAAAAGAGACCAGAATGAGACCCTACCCTGTCACACCTCTGCTTAAGGTCACCTGCTGTCTATGATCAACCCATGTTAATGGACAGCAAAATCTTCTATGTGAAATTACATAAGTGAAAGTGAATTCCATACTTAATAAGAAAAGGAGTACTTGTGGCACCTTAGAGACTAACCAATTTATTTGAGCATGAGCTTTCGTGAGCTACAGCTCACTTCATCAGATGTTTACCGTGGAAACTGCAGCAGACTTTATATACACACAGAGAGTATGAAACAATACCTCCTCCCACCCTACTGTCCTGCTGGTAATAGCTTATCTAAAGTGATCAACAGGTGGGCCATTTCCAGCACAAATCCAGGTTTTCTCACCCTCCACCCCCCCACACAAATTCACTCTCCTGCTGGTGCTAGCCCATCCAAAGTGACAACTCTTTACATAATCAAGTCGGGCTATTTCCTGCATAGATCCAGGTTTTCTCACATCCCCCCCACCCCCATACACACACAAACTCACTCTCCTGCTGGTAATAGCTCATCTAAACTGACCACTCTCCAAGTTTAAATCCAAGTTAAACCAGAACATCGGGGGAAGGGGGGTAGGAAAAAACAAGAGGAAACAAGCTACCTTGCATAATGACTTAGCCACTCCCAGTCTCTATTTAAGCCTAAAT